GGCGCCCTGGACAGCTCCAGGCCGCCCCAGAACAGGCCCAAGATGAGCCCAAATGCAGAAGCAGGAGGCCGCCAGAGTCTTCCGAGAGGACTCTGGGACCCCCCAGAGGCCTCCAACACACCCCAGACCCTTGAGAGGCCCCCACAAAAGCGCCGACGAGGCCTCCCAAACAGCACAAGAAGGTTTCGAGAGCTGGCCCGAAAGAGCCCGAAGACGGTAGAAACGTTGATCTTCAGTGGTTTGTGTCGATTTTCTTCGCCTTCTAATGTTTTGCGGTTTCCAACGCTCCAAGACCGAGGAATTTGAAATTAGCCTGGCGAAGGACCCAACCATATGCAGCTGCGAGTACCGCGCGGATATGAGACGAAGGGGGGGGCACGCAAACTAGGCCCCTCTTCTCATAGGCACCGCGCCACTGCATGGACGAGGCACAGGGCAGCGCGGGCAGGAGGTGGCGGGCGGAGGAGGAGAGCTCACTGGGGCGAGCCAACAAATCAGTATCATCATCGCATCATGAGACCTGTTACTGGGCACGCAGGAAGAGGTGACGGAGACACCGTGTAGATGTCGAAGGCAGGTCAGCAGCGGCAGAAACGAGACGGGGAAGCGCGCGGTCAAGAAGCGATGGGAAGCAGGAGGAGCGAGAGACGAGGGGAGACGTTTTTGCCTCCAGACCGACAGCGAGCCACGCAGAATGCAGCGCGCAGGCGGCGCCGCGCGAAAGTGCCTGGGAAGTCCTCGCCGACGCGGTCTGGTCATCCCGAGGGAATCCCATCGACGCGCGGGGGTTGTCCACTGCGACTCTGAGTCAACGGATAGCACCCCCGTACTGCGTGGCGAGGCGTGCGAAAATGGCGCGATCTGGGTGAAATCCCCCGACAGGCGCCGGTCATCCTCTGGCGAGAAATCCCGACGACGAGCTGGGGTTCATCCAAGCGTCAGCGACAACCAGCGCGCGCCGCTGGCTCGTGCGGGGCCGCTCCCCAGGTCAGGCCTCGCGGATGAACTCGCTGAAGCCCAGCTCTCTGGCGAGGGCCGTCGCTTCGCGCGCGCTGCAAACTGCTCCAGCTGCTTCCGGAAGCCCTCCGGCGGCCCTGCCAGGAAGAATTCGATGAGCGGCGCCCGCATGAGCAGGAGATCCTCGTGGCGCGTGGCGCGCGAGAGCAGCACGTAGAGCTCCAGCCACCAGTCGTCGTCCTCCTCGCCGTTCCCGACCTCGTGGCGGCCGCAGTCTTGGATCACGCCTGGGCCGCAGCCATTTGGGCCTTCGGTGGAGCTCCCCATGGGGCCGCGAAGCGTGTAAGGGGTGTGCCAAATATGGGGTGGCGGCGGCATGCGGACGCAGCCATTTGGGCCTTAGATGGAGCTCCCTATGGGGCCACGAAACGTGTGAGGGGTGTGCCAAAATTGGGCGGCGGCGGCATGCGGACGCAGCCATTTGGGCCTTCGGTGGAGCTCCCCATGGGGCCACGAAGCGTGTGAGGGGTGTGCCAAAATGGGCGGCGGCGGCATGCGGACGCAGCCATTTGGGCCTTAGATGGAGCTCCCTATGGGGCCACGAAACGTGTGAGGGGTGTGCCAAAATTGGGTGGCGGCGGCATTCGGACGCAGCCATATGGGCCTTGGATGGAGCTCCCTATGGTGCCACGAAACGTGTGAGGGGTGTGTGCCAAAATTGGGCGGCGGCGGCATGCGGACGCAGCCATTTGGGCCTTAGATGGAGCTCCCTATGGGGCCACGAAACGTGTGAGGGGTGTGCCAAAATGGGGCGGCGGCGGCATGCGGACGCAGCCATTTGGGCCTTAGATGGAGCTCCCTATGGGGCCACGAAACGTGTGAGGGGTGTGCCAAAATTGGGCGGCGGCGGCATGCGGACGCAGCCATTTGGGCCTTCGGTGGAGCTCCCCATGGGGCCACGAAGCGTGTAAGGGGTGTGCCAAAAATGGGGTGGCGGCGGCATGCGGACGCAGCCATTTGGGCCTTAGATGGAGCTCCCTATGGGGCCACGAAACGTGTGAGGGGTGTGCCAAAATTGGGCGGCGGCGGCATGCGGACGCAGCCATTTGGGCCTTCGGTGGAGCTCCCTATGGGGCCACGAAACGTGTGAGGGGTGTGCCAAAATTGGGCGGCGGCGGCATGCGGACGCAGCCATTTGGGCCTTCGGTGGAGCTCCCTATGGGGCCACGAAACGTGTGAGGGGTGTGCCGATGATGATGATGATGATGATGATGATGATGATGATGATGATGATGATGATGATGATGATGATGATGATGATGATGATGATGACGACAACCACGATGTGGATGATGATGATGACTTTATTCATGATGATGAGCATGATGAGGATGGTGATGATGATGGGAGGAGGGGGGAGGGGGCAGCGGGAGGAGGAACGCGGGGCACCGTCTTGTCAAAACGAGGACCCAACACCACAGGATGGTTTGGAAAAAAGAAAGAGGAAATTTCAGAGATCCCCTTAACAAAAACTCAACAAATGCGCGCCCCCTCCTCCCGGGGTTTCCACACCTTCCCGGAACTGGAACATCTCGTGTACGCTCCCGGTACCACGCTTCCTGGCCTCCCGGGGAGCCCCCACAATGCCCAAAGACAGTCCAGACGACCCCAAGAAGCCCCTACAACCTAACAGCATTGCCCAGGACGCTCCCAAGCAACCCAGGATAGCTTTCGGGCGGCTCTCCAGGCTCCCAGGAGGCCTCCAAGAGACCTCAAGAGAGCTCCGAGAGGCCTCTCGAGAGCGGCCGGAGAATTCAAAATCGTTAAGCTTATTTGTTTTTGTTGCTGGGTTTTTGGCCTTCTCATCATTTCTTGCTTCCAACGCTCCAAGACGGCCTAAGAGGCCCACCAGGCCGCCCCAAGACCGCCCAAGAGGCTCCCAAGACGGCCCCAAGACGGGCCAAGACGGTCCCAAGATTGCCGAAGAGGCGCCTCGGACAGCTCCAGACCACCCAAGAACAGGCCCAAGATGAGCCCAAGAGCGGGAGCAGGAGGTCGCCAGAGACCTCCGAGAGGACTCCGGGACCCCTCAGAGGCCTCCAACACACCCGGACCCTTGAGAGGCCCCCAAGAGATCCACGACGAGGCCCCCAACACAGCCCAAGAGAGCTTCGAGAGCCGTCCCGAGAGAGCCCGAAGAGGGTCAAACCGTTGTTTTCCAATGGTTTTTGCCAACGCTTTTCGCATTCTCACGTTTTCCCGCTTCCGACGCTCCAAGACCGAGGAATTTGGAAAAAAGGGAATTCCAGAGATTCCCTTTTTTTTCAAGTTGGGACTCCTACTCCCTATCCTCTTCCTCGAGACCCATCAAGACTTCGGGGTCACATACAAAAATGTTTCGGGAATGCTGTTGAACTCTCTGACGCTGTCTTGGCACTCTCTTGGATCGTCTTCGTGTCCTCTTGGCTGCCCCTGAAACCATTGTCGAAATCGAGATCCCATGATACCATGAGTTGAAGCAGTGGAATATTAGATGTCCTTTTTGTTCAAACTCACCCCCTTCTTATTTTTGCACGAAGACCCCGAGAGGCAGCCCAACAGACCGTGGCCTGCACGCAGAAAACGTCTAACCCACAGCCCAGGCACTACAACTTCCAAAAAAGGGACATCCCACCAATCCCACGTCTACAGACCACAATGAAGGCCCCAGACACGAACCCAGGACCCAGGAAGCTTTCGAGAGCCCCAAATCGTTGAATACCTAACGGCAATTCACGATTTTTGCGTTTCCGCAGTTCCCGTTCTATGCGATTCCGAGGCTTGCGCAAGGCCTCCAAGAGAGTCCTTGAACGCAAGAAACGACAAAGATATAGTCCATGCGTTAGCCCATCAAGCCTAGCTAGAGCTTGAGCGCGCGCGAAGCGCGCGCGATGGTTCTAGTATCTGTATGTGTATATGTACACATGTTCAGATGCACACAATTGGACTTCGGCGCATCCCGCCACCGTGCCTGGGTCGTGGACCAGAGGCTTCTGAGGGCCCCCTTCTGAGAGACCTCTTTGAGGTCTCTTGGAAGCCCTCCTGGAGCCTCTCGGAGTCTTCTTTGAGGGGTCTTCGCGGAGGGTCTTACGGCCGTTTGGGTGCTCTCTGGGGGCCCGTTTCGGCAGTCGTGCGCCCACTTTGCGCCGTGTTGGGTCTTCCGGTAGGGTCTGGAGGCTCTCCGCAGGCTTTTCGGGGCCGTCTTGGGACCTTCTCTGGGCTACCCAGAGCTCCCCTTGAGGGTGGCTGGTCGTGATGCTCTCTTGGGCCGTCTTGGGGCTCTTCTGGGGCCCCCGAGGGGGCCCTCACTGGCCGTCCTGGAGTCGCCTTACGCCCGAGGGCAGGGAGGCCACCCCTCGTACAGTCGGGGCCCTGAAGAAGGAACCCTTTTCGTTGGGGAGGGGCTCCGTGTTCCTTAAGTCACAGCTTGCCTCAGGTTTCCCTTTTGTTTTCGATACGAAATCGAAGTTTAACTTATGGAAAATAGGGGCCTCGTTCCTGATTTAGGGTTCCTTAGGTCAACGCCCCGACTGTAGGGCGCGACCGCGAAAAGCACGGTCTTCCAATATCTAGGGGGGCCGCTTGTCTCAGCACAGCTCCTCGGGCGGCAGGTCCACAAGGCAGCACATGCGTGAGTGCGAGCGCGCGCCTCCCCCTTCGCGCTGCCTGCCGCGGCGACCCTCCTCCCCCCTCCTCATCCCTCCTCCTCCTCCTCCTCCTCCTCCTCCTCCTCCTCCTCCTCCTCCTCCTCCTCCTCCTCCTCCTCCTCCTCCTCCTCCTCCTCCTCCTCCTCCTCCTCCTCCCTCCTCCCTCCTCCTCCTCCCTCCTCCCTCCTCCCTCCTCCTCCTCCCTCCTCCTCCTCCTCCTCCTCCTCCTCCTCCTCCTCCTCCTCCTCCTCCTCCTCCTCCTCCTTCCCCTCCTCCTCCTCCTCCTCCTCCTGGAGACTTCTCCCTCCTCCTCTTCCTCCTCCGGCTTCGCCTCCTCCTCCCTTCGCAGATCTCGAGGAGCCACCCGCCGCGGGCCGCGCCGCGCCGTCCTGGGCCGAGAAGGCCGCCGCGGCGCGCCGCGCGGTGCCGGCCGAGAGGGCGGCCCCGGCGCGGAGCGCGGACGCGCCTGCCCGGCAGCCCAGGGCCGAGGAGCAGCGCTCGCCCTCGCCTCTCCTCTCCGGCCCGCTCTCGTAGGGGGCCACGTGCGAACCTTGCCCCTGCCCCTCACGATTTCTGAGGGGGAGGGTGGGGTTTGGGGTTCACCTCGCCCGGGAGCTCCCGAGCGAAGTGAACCCCACCCTCCCCCTCAGAAATCGTGGGGGGCAGGGTCAGGTTCGCACGTGGCCCCCGAGGCCCGCTCTCGTCCTCCTCTCCCCGTGCGCACCTCCGCCTCTGCGCCCCGTCGTGGCCTGCCCTCCTCGCCCTCGGTTCCCCATGGCGGCTCTGGGTTACGAGTCCCGGTGCTCTCTAATAGGGAGCCTGGCAGCGGCAATGCAAGCACTGGGTCGAAGAGGGGAGCGAGAGAGAGAGAGCGAGAGAGAGAGAGAGGGAGAGGCAGACAGAGGGAGGGATAGAGAGAGAGAGAGTGAGAGAGAGGACAAACAGATCAGAGGGAGGGCCAGAGAGGGATATATATATATATAGAGAGAGAGAGAGAGAGAGTGAGAGAGAGAGGACAAACAGATCAGAGGGAGGGCCAGAGAGGGAAATATATATATATATAGAGAGAGAGAGAGAGAGAGAGCGCGACAGTTCGGACCAATCTGCCTGTCCTTGCCCGGTGGGTTGTGAATGCCGCCCAGGCCAACCTCACAATGGCGGGAGGTGCCTCAAAACGTACAGGGGTGGGGAATCCCTACCCCTGGCGCGGTCTGTAAAAGACCCCAGTTGGAAAGCAAGGCGGGTCTGTGGCGATCAGGGAATGGCACACCCTGTCTGCACACCCGAGCAACAGGCGCCGGCTATTAGCGCGCGTTGGCATGCGCGCCTCGGAACCTCAGTGAACCAGGGCAGGGCTAAGGCTACGGAACAGTTGCCAGCGGTTCGCGCAGCGCATTCAGGAATTTGGAGAGGCTAGCACTGGTGTGCTAGCTGTGGGCATCGAGGCTCGCCTGGAGGCTTGCCCGGGGAGAGGCCCCAAGGCGAGCAGGCGATCGGAAGGCCTGATGGAGGTCGTTCCAGGCGTGGTGTGCTCTTTGGAATTTGTCAAGACGTAGTCATGACTGCCCCTGGACGCTATGTTGGATGTGTGGAAGGCTGGTAGCCCATTGTTGCAGCGCCAGGATATACCCTCCATCGTCTGGGTCCTCGATGGGGTCATCTGGTGTGCTGTGATCGTTGCCAGTATCTTGAATGGGGTCGCTTCCTTGGTTGTACGCGACTGCTGTGCAGTCTGGACTGGTCTCCATCTGCTCGGATGACGCAACGGCTTCGGTCCATGAGGTCGGCGGGCCAGGTTCATCCGTAACGGTGCCCCTGGTGGCGAAGGCAGTCTCGCGATCGAGGTCGGCTGGTTGAGTGGCAACGGCGGGGCGTTGCGTGAAGACACGTATCCGATCGGTGATCTGCATTGGAGTCACACGGGTGCCTGCACCATGGTGGGCGGTGCTGAGGCCGCGAGCCCGCGTGCCCTGGTGGGACGGGAGAGCGGCCCGATGGCAGGGGTGCGCTGATTTGAGGGCCCGGATGAGCGGCAGCACTGTCCAGAGCCCATCGAGCTGTGGCGACGGCACGAGCCCACCCAATGGCCCAGCCTTCGGGTCCTCGCCGGCCAGCTCCGCGCTCAGGCCATTGGCGTGGGGGCCGCAGCCAGTGCCAGGCGCGCGGCTAGCAGCAGCGGGAAGGACAGAGAGGGCTGAGCTACGTTCCGTGTGGCCGAGCCCCCATGTACCATGCGCGGTCGGCGGTCTGGCGCCCCGGGCCTGGGACTCGGTCCCGGTGGTGGCCCCCCGCTCTGGAGGCATCGTCGCCTCGTGCCTTCCCAGACGCCGAAACAGCGATGGGGCGTTGCATGTGGGCCCGTCTCAGGACGGTGGAGTCCTCCTCCTCCTCCTCCGCCTCCTCCTCCTCGAGGTCCTCCTCCTCCTCCTCCTCCTTCTCCTCGAGGTCCTCCTCCTCCTCCTCCTCCTCCTCCTCCTCCTCCTCCTTGAGGTCCTCCTCCTCCTCCTCCTCCTCCTCCTCCTCCTCGAGGTTCTCCTCCTCCTCCTCCTCCTCCTCCTCCTCCTCCTCCTCCTCCTCCTCCTCCTCCTCCCTGGTGTCTGGGGGCACTTAGAGCTTCCGTTCCCCGGCGGGGCGCGGCGTGGGCCCCGGCGGGCGGGGCTGCTCCGCCGCGGAGGGCCGGGTGCGCGCCAGCGCGTGGCGGCCCTGCGGTTTTGGGGCGCCGGGGCCGGTCCACGAGCCGGGCATCGCTCGGAGGTGTGCCTTTTTTCCTCGGCGAGGGCCCAACTGTAGAGGGAGGAGGAGGAGGAGGAGGAGGAGGAGGAGGAGGAGGAGGAGGAAGGAGGAGGAGGACCCTTGAGGAGCATCCTGGACCATCGAGAGAAAAAAACCACGCACGAGACCGGCAAATGCACGGGAGATGGACGTCCGAGCGACGGCGAGACGAGGGCCTGACGCATCCGCGTCGTCGTAGCGAGTGGGCGTTGTGGTGCGAGCCGTTGTGCGAAGCGCAGTGTGCGAGCGCGTCGCGGTGTACGCCGTGGTGCCGCCCGTGCATCGCGGGAGTCGCGTGGCCGTGCGGGCCCTACCCCCGCTCCTCGGTCAACCTCTGACTTTTACCATTCTGCTAGCCTGAAGTCTTCTCACGCATACAGCTGTTGCAGTCACGTTCAACTCATCCTTACAGCTCTCCGGTATCTTCTGATGTCCTTTCGTGCTTATCCACGGGGCACCGTCATAGGACAACCGCGGAAACGCACGGGACATCCGCCCGGCCACCGCACGGCCACGGGACAACCCTAGTACAACCACGGGCCGCACGCGCAAGGCACGCGGGACAATTAAGGATTGGGGTCATCGCGTTGGGCACGCCAGGGAGGGGGGTATCACTTTGTCACATGGCATGTCCCTGGCTAGGCACGGAGCGCTTTCACCGTCACGAATATCCGCCTCGCCTGCGAACGCGCGACCCGGATCGAGACAAAGACGGATGTGCTGGTTGTGAGATTTCTGTTTCATCCCGATAACCCCCGAGGTCTCCGATAGTATCTCGATTGAGTCGATAAGGCGTGCGATATCGCAGCCTTGGTGCAGCTTCACATTCACGATTGACGTGTTCAGGGGGCTGCCATGGGCTTGTAATGGTATGTATACGATGCGTGTATGTCGCAATGTGTTGGTAATTCTAGTACTCACCGCATGCATGTAAGCGCCAGGCGGTCCTGAGGAACGTCAGTGGCCGTGATAGCTGCTTGGAGGCAGCTTTGGTATTGTTTCGGGGTGGGCAAGGCCTCAGAAAAAGCTCACACGTCATGGACGAAGAACTCTGACGCCACAGAATCCAATTAGTTTTCGCCCGCCTACTGCACGAGTGCTTATTTGTCTGCAGTGCGTGTGCGTTCTACTACGGCGCATCGCAATATCAGGCGCTACATGGCCGACGACCGGTCTGTCTACCAGACCTCCCGGTAAGCATTGGGCCACGAGCAAGGGGCGGAAACGTCGGATCACAGTGGGGGGCGAAGAATCAGGGAAATTAGCTGTCACTCTTTTATCAAGCCGCAGCAGTAGCCAACGCTAACCAAGCCCTACGCACCAAAACAACGGCAGCAGGACATCACCAATATCAGCCCGGCGATCTCGTGGACTACCACTGCCCGACCACAGCGAGAGACGACTGGGGTGGATGGACTGGCCCACGCCCCATCGCCCGCAATTGCCCTGACCGAGGTCAGATTGCAGTTCAAGTCGGCGGTCGAGAAGCTCTCGCACAGTATCCAGACTGACGTCGTACACTGTACCTACAAGTGCTGATGGTCCGCGAGATTGGCTCCGACGCAGCGGCCGCGCGCGCTGCGCTGGCCTTCGTCGCGAGCCTGGCCGCTGGGAAACCTGCCGCGGTTTCCGGCCTCTTGCCGACCGAGCAAGGAAATGCGCGGACGACCGCGGCGAGCCGTCTCTCGCCTAAGGTACACTTAGCTTTGCAGTTTCTCATTTTATTTTTCCCGAGTAGATAGCGTAGTAATTGTGCGTCTGGCTAAGAGCATCCGCGGGTGACCTGCAGTGCCATATGCTGACCGTTGCATTCTGGCATGCTACGACATCGACGTTGACAGGACTCCACTACTACGAATCCGAAGGACCAGCCCTTCATCCACGGCATCACTGGATCTACACACGCACGAAGAATCCAACGCTTCAAATCTTCAAATATTCTAGCAGGCTTCGACGAATACCTATCTAAGTCTGAGAAACCTGGCGGGCGCGCCAGCACGGGGCGGCAACGCTCAACAGGAAGAGCAGCTTCTAGTCCCAGCCGCGCTCGATAGAAGACGCCCGACCATTACCGAGGAATCTGAAATGAATTAGAGGCGCATATCATGGAAGCGTGGCACATAGGACTCCCAGAGGAAAAGCTCTACATGAGACCACGCCATGGGGGTCCTTCTATTCAGTCGCCACGGACATGATCGCAGGAAATCACGCGCACGTGACTGTAGCCAGCGAGGAGCAAGGACACTTGCAGGACATTGTCTGCGATCGTCACGATGATACTTATGAGAACTTCCCGGCGCCCTGCGCCACCGAGTACGACGAAACCTACGAATTCGATTCGGACGAACACGGCCAGTGCGTTGAGCTTTGCTTCGCTACTGACATGGCTAGAATCGTTCTAGCAGAACAACAGCCCCAAACATTGAGCGCCGGACAGATGACCAATATGCGCGTCTATGCCACGGCCGAATATAAGACGGCCGCGGTCGTCAAGAAAGACGACCCCCCGACGAAGGCTGACGCGCAGGCGAACTCGGCCAAAAAAACCATGGCTTTGCACGCGGAATTCGAAATATCGCATGGTAGCAAATGCTTCAATGCGCAGGATATGAATAACGCCACTCACATCATGACACCTAAATTCGTGTCCAAGTGGAAGTTCGTGAAGAATGAAACGGGCGAAATGGAACGAACCATCCGACTTTCCCGGGCCTTTC